CTTGCCACTTCTGAAGCTTCAAGCACGCTGAGATTACCAAGTTGAATTGCTCAGTTGTTGGTGCGTGTTCACTCTCCGCGAGCAACTGGAGCACCACTTGCAGCACATCTGCGTGTCTTGCCTCTGCCAGGGCTTGGACTATGCGGCTCATCGGCACAGCCTGACGGTCCTTGTCCAGCCGGCGCAGTGCCTGCAAGCGGGGCTGAACATTGCATCTTGTTTGGGATCGCAATGATTTGGGTGCACGGAAAAGCGATTGCTGGCTCAAATCGGCTGTTTTGCATCGCAAGAAAGTCCATTCCCCAAAGGCGTGCGACTTGAAGCCGGCCGGCCAAGCTTGGGCAGGCGCTGATCCATGCGTCGCAACGGTCATAAGCTTGCATTGAACACTTCTGGGTCGGCGATATCTTTGAGCCAAGCCGGATTTGAGTCCGAATGAGGGATGGTCAAATCAAAGCATGTGGGCAAATGGGATTGTCTTGAAATTGAAGAACCCAAAGGGATCACCAGGGTGGTTTTCGGATTGGTTTCCCGCGGCCAACCAACATGCATTTCCCTAAAAGACACAGGCACACCCAAGTAGCGAGAATTCACAAACTGGAAAAGAGCAGCCCTCCCAGTATAGGGCCTTCACTATGGAAGAGCTCGTTCCACCCGCGGCGAGTGCGGGCTTGGAAATGAAGCCGCGCAAGGTATGAGCGATCTGGGGGTTGCAAATGGAAATGAAGAGGTGTACAAGGCTGCAAGCACTTGAGGGAATTAGATTTCTTGGCCCAACTGCCTGGCTTCTGTGAAGGCCGGCGGCTCCTATCACCCAGTGAAAAATCACTGCCGCAAGCTAAGGCCCAAGCAGAGTCCTCATAAAACTGGTCGCCACCCAATCGCAGCCACACTCCACCAATCTGCGCGGCTGAGACAAGTCAGCTTTGGTGAGTACCAGCCATGCAACGCGGATCAGCCAGCCCAAACATGACTGTTCGTCGCTACTTGGCCAGGAGGGCACCCCTGTGCGACGGACTACTCGGCACCGCCCAGGCTGGCTTAGGCCAAACGCGGTGCAAAGAATTGTCTGAAAAGGACCCCGTTGCACACTGAAACAAGACAAAGCGGGACCCTTCTGGGGAGTCTCATGGACTACCGTTTTCAACGGGACCCGTTTTGGGGAAGTCTCGTGGTTTCCCATTTTCGGAGGCCAACCAAACGGAGCAAAGGCCGGAGACCCACCCAAATCGAAGACCAATCCCCGCGCATCGAAGCGAAATCCAGGCCTTTTCGGGCATCACCCCGCCGCTGGCGCGCTTGGAATAGATCACACCTTCGCCGTGCCTTTCTCACTTGGTGTTGAGGCACCCCGAAAAAAATCCCAAATTGGGGCCATGACTGAAAATGGCCCAACACTGGAAAACCAAAAGGGTAGGTCGGCTTTGGGGAACTGAGCTTTTGTCAGGAAAGCGGCCTAGTGCACCATGACAAATGCATCCAACCAGTCAACTTGTTTTTTTTTGAACAAGCAAAAACAAACAAAAAACCTGCAGAAGGCACGCGTGCGGTCCACCAGCCGCCTTTGGCGCACTTGAAGTCTTTGTCCTTGGCCTCAGAGCCTCCGAGGATCCAGGAGCCTGGCACCAGGGGAGTGAGACGAAAGAAATTCCACTCCAGTGCCAGGCCCGAGCCAATGCCCTGAGACAGGCAGGCGCGGCCGTTCGTGCCGCAGTACAGGAAACTCCTGCGCGAGGACACAGCCAGAAACTTTTCGGGTGGGAACGCACATAGGTTGTCCTTATCACTGGTGCTCCCAGGCTAGTTACAGGCACAAAAACAAATCAATGTGCTAGATATTTGCTTTGGCAACGCCATTGACGTGCATTCAGCAGGGCGGGGGTAGCAAGCCTGGTCACACACAGTACGCCGTGTAGGCGCGTGTTAGCAGGGGCTTTGTGTGATGTGCATTCCCTGCAGAGTTGTACCACCCCCGTGATTAAACATGATAAAACCACAATGGCTTGAGCAATCTCATTAGTTTTTCTTTGAAGGAGGGCATGGCTTGTTCAAACAAGACTTGCCCACCCCTGCACAGTTGGCAGCAAACAGCTACCAAACACACTCACAAACAAACAAACACACACACACACAAACAGGCATCGAAACACACACACACACATTTACAAACACACTCACGCACACACACACAGACGCATGCAGAAACAAACAAACAAACAAACAAACAAACAAACAAACACACACACACACACACACACACACACACAAAAGCATGCGCACACACACAAACAAACAAACAAACAAACAAACACACACACACAAACAGACACACACACACACACACGCAGAAGCACACACAAAGAAACACACACACACACACACACACGTAGAAACACAACAAGCACATGCACACAGAAACGCACACACAGAGAAACCACCACACACACACAAAGGCACACACACATACAGAAACACACACACACAGAAAAACAAACACAAACACACACACACACAGAGAGAAACAGACACAAACACGCAGAGCGACACACACACACACACACAAACACACACACACAAACCAACACACACGCATAAACACACACACACACACACACGTAGAAACACACACACACACACACATGCACACAGTAACACACACACGCAAAGAAAACAACGCACACACACACACAGAGGAGCACACACACACACACACGCACACAGAAACACACTCACACACGCAGAAACAAACAAAACAAACACACATACACACAGAGAAACAGACACAAACACACATTGTGACACACACACACAAATCAACACACACACGCCGAAACACACACGTAGAAACACACACACAGAAACACCCACACACACACACAGAGAAACAAACAAAAACACACAGAGTGACACACACACACACAAACCAACACGCACGCACAAACACACTCGTGGACTCACCCACACACACACACATAGAAACACACACACACACAGAGAAACGCAAACGCGCCGAAACACAAAAACAACCACACAAACACACAAACCAATGCACACGCAGAAACACACACGTAGAAACACCCACACACACAGAGAAACACGGACGCGCGGAAACACCAAAACACACACACAAACCCACAAACCAACGCACACGCAGAAACACACACGTAGAAACACACACTCAGAAACACACACACACAGCTACAAACGCACTCACGCACACAACGCACACAAACGCACGCACGCACGCACGCACACACACACACACATTTACAACCACACTCACGCACACACACACACATACACACGCACAAACAAACAGACACACACGCGCGCGCGCGCACACACACACACACACACGCAGAAACACACACGCACAAACACACACGTAGAAACGCACACGTAGAGGCACACACGAACACACACACACACAAGCAAGCACAAGCACAAGAACATGCACACAGAAACACACACACAGAAACCAACACACACACACAAAGGCACACACACAAAAGCACAAACCAACACACACGCAAGAACACACGCGTAGAAACACCCACACACACACACAGAAACACACACACACACAGAGAAACAAACACACACGCATAAACACATACACACACACACACACACACACGTAGAAACACACACACACACGTAGAAACACCCACACACACAGGAACACACACACACACAAACCGCGAAACACAGACGTGCCAAAACACAAAAACACAGACAAACACACATGCTCAGGGCTTCCCCGAGTTGGAGGCAGCCGACGTCGCGCCTTCCCGACTTGTGCTCCCAAACGGGCAGGCCATTCGCTACCATGTCCGTCAACACCTGAGCTGAGGATCGACTGAACCTGTCAGTCGCATGGATGGCCTAACGGGCAAAAACATGGCAGAAACCCGGACTTCCCGATGTTGACCGCCAAATTCCGGCAGTTTGGGTTCCTGACACGTTTAGCTTTCGCAGCCCTGACTACCCCAAAAGCCAAAGCACGTCTCTGGGAGAGTGAGCTCTTGCCGAGATCCCGGCGTATTCTCCGGCGCATCTTTGCTGGCCGTTGGGGCTGACCACGCGCAGGGAGAGGGGCTTGTTGAGACTTGTGGCCACCTCGCGAATGGCAGAGAGGACATGCATGTACATGTGAGTGTTTCCTTTTTTTGGGGTACGCCTGTGTTGGTGGTTTTAAAGGAAACCGGCAGGAAAACCACAATCTTGAGGGTCCCCTAAAAAGACAGACTGATGCGGTTCGGTTCCACCGTGGTTGAACCATGGTCGTTGGATGGCAAAGCGCAAACTAGAAACGCAACGCTCATCCTGGTTTCCAGCCTGCACAAAGGTGCCCAAAACAAGCAGTTAGGGTTGCGAAGCAACGCCCTCTCAGACCAAGGATGTTTGGGCCCTTGGCAAAAAAGGGGAAAAAAGGCACTCCTTTTCGCCTTGCCCCTGGTTGGTTGATTGCTTTGGTGCTTTGAATGAGGCTTCCCCATTTAAGGCTTCAACAGTGAGCGGGTTCAAACCTCCAAACCACCCATCCAAACCACCATCTAAGGGGTACCTAACAGCCTTTGTTGGCTTTAAAACCAGGCTCTAAAACAACAAGGACAAAAGAATGCCACTGAGCCACTGGGAACTTTTCTGTGTTTTTTTTCAGCGTGCAAGTGCTTCGATTTGGCGTCACCTGCCTGCCTTTTGCCTGCATTCACTTCCCCAGCCCTGGGATGAAGTGAGATATCTGCGATGGTGACTGCAAAATACATTTTGATTTACCCTCCCACGAAAATCCCTTTAAAAGGAAACTGAGCTTCCAGGACCCCACCATCAGGGTCCATGTGAACTGGTGGGAGGTTTCCAAAGAGTAGCCCTGAGTTCCCGGAGCTGACAGCTGGTCAGTGTCCGCAGGTCTCCGGGCCGAGATGTGAGTATCCTCAATGAAGTTCTCCCCGTGCAGTCTCTCCCAAACCTGCAGAAGCTTCTTGCAACTACAGTGGCTGGTGCCTGGTTTGTCGCATGCTCGTTCTATCAAGGTGATTGTCAGATGGCTTTGCGTTGGGTCAGGTCTGATTTGGCTTTGGCAGCGCTCGCAGTAACACAAAGAACAAGGTTCAACAAATTACCGGGCATACATATGTATATATATATATATATTGTAGAGGTCGGGTACCTGTCTGAGGCTCCCGCACCCGTAACTTTGTCGGGCGTGACCTCAGCTGAGAATGGCGCAGGTGGCCCAAGCATGGGGGCGCTTCACTGGGCAGCTCCAGTGGGGACACATCCCAGCGCTTCCTACAGTCCTCGGGCATTGGGAGGCCATTGTTTCTGAGTGTTTCTGACCCTGAGCTGTATGCTTGACCATCGGATCAAATTGTGGAGGGCATTTTGCAAGCTAAAGAGGTGAGCGCTCAATTAGCCTTACTTGGTCTTGGGTTCCAAACTAAAACTGAATGATTCCTGACCAGAATATTGGCAAGGCTGCACACCCCACGTGGTTGATGACCTCGCTTATCGACCCCAGGCAAGCCTGGCCCGGCTTGGGCCTGCGCTCCTCCATGGAGGGTTCGGCAAAAGATCAGGCCATGAGAGCAGTTGAAGGCCTGCGACGCCCCTATCTCCCAGCGATCCTGGAAGGAAGCCCTTTCTGGTTTTGACTAGTGCAGAACCAAACGGAAAGCGGGACCCTAAAGCAAAAATAGGAAACACCAAATGCCACTGCACAAGTGGGAAGCAACACGGCGTTTATTGCTGTTGAGTCAGGATGTTTGCAACGGAATGTCGCTTGCTTTTGTGCCGCCTGGTGCCTCATCTTTGCTGCACCAGCTGCTGCAGGTGCTGATGGTGTTCGGCAGTTGGTGGTGGTCCCTTTGAAATCAAGCTTCACACAATTCTTAGCTGTTGGGTGGATGCCTGAGGCGACAACAGCGTGGCAAGCTCAACATACGCCATGGAAGCCGGATCGTTCATAAAGCCGCGCCATCAACTGTTGCGCAAGCCTCCTACGAATCATATTGCCGGCTGCGGTCAATTCATAATGTTGTTGATTGTTGTTAGGCGCTAAATGCCACGGCTGGTTGCTGGTTGCTGCTCGTCGCAATTGGCTGCTGCTTCCGATTGCTGGTGGTTGTTGCTGGCTGTTGCTTGCCTTTGTTATGTTTGTCGATCGTGCTGATGTTGGTAACGCGACTATATGTATTATACACACATATCTGTCAAAATATGAGGCGTGTTGATCTTGAAGCTAGAGTAGAACCACTGGTCCGCTGCAGTCACAGCATGGCAATTCATCAAATCAAGTCACAACAGCCATTTGAAGATCCAAATTCAATAGCCGCACCTCCAAAACCAGCAAACAAAACCATGGGACCCTTCACCCTTCGCCTAGGGCACCCGGGGGGCTGGGGGGGGCTGGGCAAAGGTTGCGCCTTCTCCTTGGCGTCCAAGCCACCGATGATCCACATGCCGTTCTTCCCTGAGGCAAGTATCCAATTTTCGCACACACCCTGAAATCACTGGACTTCCATTTCAGAGGTTGCAGTTTTCTGATGGTGTCCATGGAAACTGCCACTTTTGGAGGTTTCAAAATGGGAGACGGAGGAAATCCTGTCACTAGTCATGACCAAATCCACCCAACACTAACAGGAAAGGGCAACAAGAAACAAACGGCAAATGAAGACCCTCATTGAACATATACGGGCCCAAAAGCTGCCACAGAGACCCAACAAGCAATCGGCTTGAAATACTGGCGTGCATCCAGGGAAACCTGAGTCCCACAAGTACGTCATCTTGGCGTAGACATTGCGCATCCCACTCTGGGTTTTGCCCCATGAATCAGCTCAGGCTTGCCTGTGCTTGAGTGATCATAATCACAGTCGTGGTCATCGTCATCGTCATCGTCATCTTCATCACCATCATCATCTATCACCAATCACCAATCACCAATCATCATTATCATCATCATCATCAGCAGCATCAGCCTCAGCAACAGCATCGTCATGATGATAGACATTGTACTCGTGAAAATGACCACAGGGTACCACACGCGAGTGAGGCTGGGCAACGGCTAGCGCATACAAACCCAAATCAAAGCGCCATGGTTGCTCCAAACATGGAGGAACAAACCATTAACTATTTGCAGAAACCGGATCTGTAGAGCTTTCCCTCTGAGCTTTACCCTCGGCTCTATATAGAACTGCTTGATTTACCCTTTTTAATCACCCCCTCTTTGTTTACAGCGGGTGTCCCTGGGTTTATATAGTGGGGAATCATCACTTTTAGAGGGAACACCTATAATAATAAACAGGGGTTGATTTATATGGGGTCAACATTCGAGCTTTCCCATGAGATTTCCGCAGCTCATGTGCCTGAGTACAGCCAGAAGCTGCCAGCCTTCTGCTCCCAGACCTTCGGCTCGCGGTTTTTTTGAGGCGAAGGGGACCCAATTTGTTTGGTGGCCTTCAAGGGGGTCCGAAAGGACACACGACATCGAAATCCATTTTGGGGGGTCCCCGAAACACGGCACGCCGACTTGGGATGAACGAAGGCCGAGCAAGGCTGAGATGAAACACCAACTGGACCAACTGGTGCAGGATTGAACACGAACCATGAGAAATAAGTTCGGGGGTTTGTGCCGCCACTTGCAGGGAGGAAGCAATGGAAACTTGCACAGCCCACTTGATGTGCCAAGGCGTGAGGGTGTGGATGCACTGGTGCGTCGATTCGTTGTCTTTGCAGTTGATTGGTTCTCGGGGCGGGTTGGCATGCATGCCAGCGCCGGCTGCACTCTCCCCGCGATTCTCTGAAAGGTTTTGAGAAGCTTGCTCCCCCGTGTTTGTGTGAGTGGCTGCAAAGTCATTTGACGCAAATTGCGTTCGGCGGGCCCTTCCTTTTTGAATTAGTCGACGTTGGTTGGTTTAGGGGTCGTTACGCACTAAGGTCTGATGCTCACACCTGTCCGTTATTCATTGGAGCGGCGAAGCCGTGCAAATTGGATCTGTAAACACTTTTGACAGGGGCCCTCTTTTCGGTGTTCTTCCGTTTTCTCGGGCGTGAACCGTTCGACGACGTTGGTTGGTTTGGGCCCCCCACCGGAATAAAACAGTCGAGCGCTGAGTGTTGGCGACCACAGCTTTCGGTTTGTCACTAGCTGGGGCGTCAGACTCACCATACCTACCTGACGCAACAAAGCTATGGTATGCTGATGGGCTGATCACCCACGTGTACCTGCAGTGAAATGTGTGATTTCAGCCGTTGGCTTTTCAATCGGAGAAAGTGATGCTGTTCTCGCTGTTGCTTCCGCTCGGCTTGTCATTGCCTCCAAGGTGTGATTTGACTCACCAGACCTTGCTTGCCGTATGAACATCGGCGGCTACAGGCCGATCCCATGTTTGGAAAGATATGTCAGAGATCTCTGCAAGATGACGGAAGAGATCCAGACAGCATTAAACTACTTTCCTCTGGGAAGTACCGCGAGTGTTTGCTTGTTTGTTTGTTTGTTTGGGTGGGAGTGGGGGAGTGTGGGAGTGTGTTTGTGTGTTTGTGCGGGAGTCTGCGTGAGAGCTAGGCTAAGATCTGGCCTCCAAAAGCCGATATAGAGTAATGTGGTTGGCGCGACACCTACGGGCAATTCTCAAAATAGGTCCGTGAACTGGTTTGGTTTCAGTTCGTCTTCTTAAATACTGGCCAAAAGGTCCACCATGTTAACTAGATAGGTTCCGTAAACTGGGTGGTTTCCGCTTGTCTTTTGAAATGCCAGCCGAACGAGGGTTCACCATTCCAACTGAGAAACACCGAGACTTCCCCAGAAAGTGGACATACGACTCGCCCGAGCTGCGCACGGGGTGGCCGTTGGCTGACAGGTCCAGGCGGACATACTCCCCCGCGCATTGCTGCTGCCCGCTGGGCGACAGAACGAAAAGCCTCAGTGGCGCTGGTTCATCCGAGACTCAGATGCCCAGTGGATTTTCCCAGGGCACCGTGTTTTTTGTTGTAGTTGGTTGAGTTCAAAGGGGGGCCCAAACCAAAAAACCGGAAAAACGGGCACAACAGAGCAAAAATTAATTGATCCAGAGCAGGACTTTGTCCATCCACTGTACTGTATACCGTAGGGTCCTGTACAGCTGGGTGAAAGTAGATGGCCCAACTTGCATTTCAGTTTAGCAATATGTTTATTTGCATAACTACTTGCGAAGTGTAAACTGGCAAAGCCCAAGAACCGTGCCGCAAATGACAAGCACAAGACATGGTTTTGGGCCATATTCTGGGCTAGTTGCCTAGGCCTTGCCTGTGATGAGGACAACTCCCCTGGCACCACCTGAGTTTGCTTGTGTACCGCCCGCGTCACAAACAAAGTTGGCGGTTGTAAGCGACACCCCGGAGAGGAATGAAGATCCTGAAGCCCCCGTCCCCAGAAAAGACTCTTACCTTCGAGTCTCTTCCAAGGGCTCTGAGCTTTCTCAGGGATAGGGGACCCACATCTGGGCATGTTGATCGGCCGATCCTCTGAAGCAATTGTGGCTCAACCTATACAGGCGGGGCACCTGACGGAAACGCACGCGATCCATGATTGTTTGTTCGAGAGTGGGGCCAGCCCCAATGCCTGCAGTGACAACACCCCGGCCCAATCTGCCCTCAGCTTAGGACACGGCGATTTGGTCATTCCACCGTGACGAATGCAACCCGCATGAACCGCAGCTTACGCTGGCCGCCGCGGCTGCCTGTCCCTTGGGTCCCCGTGGTTCGTGGGTGGAAATGCATCCTTCTAGAAACCTGCTTCCTGTGAATTCAGTGTGACACAGGCAGGGCCCTCTAGCTGTTCATTGCCAACTTGCGAAAGATCAAACGCCAAGGCCCATTGTTTGAGCTGGTTCTGAACTGCAAAGCCACCACAATATAATTCGGGGGCTCAACATGTATCATGCCTAACCACTTGCAGGCTTGCAGGCATGCCACTTTGCAGGATAGCGAACATCGCTTCTTGTTTGTGGCTGGCTGGCCGATGCTGTGAAAGCTGCAGCAAAAAAAAGCGCGCCAGTGAATCCAACCGTCTCCGGCACTGACACTTGAGAGAACCGATCCTCTCAGGGGCACCGAAAGAAAATCGCGGAAAGCCGCTTTGGAAGATCAGCCGTTTATCGGGGGCAAGCCAAAAAAACCTGTCAAGTCCAATGTGACCTTCTGGCACGTCATCAAATCGATCAAATTCCATTGGTACGATGGAACCGAGTGACTTCCCAAGCCCACGTGTTAAGCGCAGCTATCTCCCGCTCTCTCTACTGAAGCGTTTCCGCTGCGCATCGACTTCATCGCCACTACGATCCCCAGCCAAGCTAGGAATAGCGCCAGACACCCTCAATACACTGCCATTTGCTGAAGCCCCCTGGAAAAATACAAACACAGAAAAAATATGTCCAGTGATAGATGCCCTTTAAAACCAACAGGAGAACATAAACCATATTCTTAAGCAAGTGGAAGAACATGAGTCTTGCCTCCAACGGAGCATCTACAACTGGGGAAAGGCCGGGAGGAAGCCCCACCCCCACCCCCCGGCCACTACATTTTGGGCCTGGGATCCACGGCGCATTTTTCCCCTTTCGCCCAGATCAACCTGCGCACTCATTGCCTGCAGCCGGTCTCTCCGTTCAGCTTAGACGAGCCGTGCAAACCGATGGTTGAAGCCGATGATTGAAGACACAAGACTTCGCACAGGCTGTAGGCAACCCACGGAAACAGGGGCTGTCCTGCAATCTGGCTTGGATGACTTGCAATTGCATATCTTGAGGAATCCAGCCAGTCTGAGTGGGCAAGTATTGGGAACATCCTCCAAATTTTGGCAGCGTGTCTCGTATTGCCAAGAGAACATGCTGAGGTTTCTTCCCCCCTGTTGTGTTGGTGCGTAGAAAAACCTTTGCAGCCATAACGTTGAGAGACGACTTGGGGGGAAGCGAAACAAGCAACAACTGTGAAGGCTCAACAGGCAGCCCGTGTTTTTCGAAATTAGGGAGCCCTCCAAGTAGGTTGTGTCCTGTTGGTTTTCTTCAGAAAAACCCATCCCAAAAAGGAGTCCCCTATTTGGAGACACACTTGGCTCCTGACGTGTGCTCAGTTGCTTCCCCTTTCTGGCCTCGTCACCATCCCTATTGAGCCTTGGGGCCCCTGAGCGGGCCCCCCAAAGCAAAACGGTGCGCTGGGGCGCCCCTGCAAATGAACTTGTCGCACATGAAGGAGGACCGGCCACTTCCCCCCTTGAGCTGGCCCATCCTCAGAGACCATCCATCGGGCGTTTTTCCGTGGCCCGCGTTTCCCATGGCTTGAAGTGGATGGACGAAATCGAGTTCGCACCACGAAATGAAACCAGGGTTGAAACCAGTGGTTGTTGGTATTTACAGGCGGGTCAGCTTTCCTGACTCTAGACTCTAGATGAAAAATCCTGAGTTCCAATGGCAGGGGGGTTCGCATTTGCTTGGGTGGTTTAAAGGGACTTCAACGCGCAACTGCTCATTTTGGTGGTTCCTCTTTTTGGAAGACAACGCCAGACACACAGTGAGGCCCGCCAGCGGGGACATTCAAAAAGAAACATCAAGTTCAAACCGTGATCAGCGGACAGCTGTTGACTCTGCTTCTTGTATTCGTCTACGATGGGACCAGGGGTGCATAGCCGGCAACCCCTTCAAACTAAACTGAGACTCTGGGAAATCCTGCCCTGCTTTCAGCTGTCCAGAATGCACATTGCACTTGATACGTAAGTGAGGCCAAGGGTAAAAATCACTTTCCACACTTTCCTTCCAACCTGTCTGCTTTCTCTCTCTCTCACTCTCTCTCTGGCTCAACTGCCAGATGCACCTGGCATGGCCACTCTGAGATAAGCCGCCCAACCTCTGCGGCACGCGCTTTTCGCAGCTGTCGCACCTGAGCGGCGAAACTGCCATTGACACGAAAAGACATTTGTGGAGTGACGACCTCCATTGACTTTTCACTCCATTTAGTTTACAGAACTAGGGTTCAACCCCTACAAGAATGGATGACAATCTTCGGATGGTGAAACTCCTTAAGCACCGCTGGTCACCTTCACCCCCCCCTTTCTTTCAATGAACCTTGGGCAACCAAAATGCATCAAAATGCGGCTTTGGACCACTGCGTGGTGGTTTGAACCCTTGGGACCCACTGGAACCGGGGCAGCTTTCCCAGCGCCCTTGGCCCGCAACGTTTCTCCGAGCTCCACACACGACGCTGGCTTGAGGGTTCGGAAACCACAAGCTGTCCCCGCAGCTACGGAAGGACACCACTTCCACCTCACCGGGTGAAGACTTGGCAAGAACTCGACTCTTGAAACTGAGGCCTTTCAAAGGACCTGAAAGGGCATGGGCGGTTTTGTGTGTACCCCCTTCTAGCAGCTGTGATTTCAGCAGTGTTTGTTCCCAAAGCGCGAGCAAGAAATGCCTCAATTCAGCAGTGTTTGTTCCAGGTGGCGTCCCAGCATTCGTGTCAAGAGGCGCCGATCTCCCGCCTCGGAAGCTCCGTTGAAGCGAATCCGGGCACCTGCGGGATTTCGACAGAAAAAAATCGCAGCTCGACCCCGTTCGAACGGGGTTGCTTCAACTGGACAGCCAAAAACGTCTGTCAACTCTTGTTGGATAGAAGGATTTTTGAGACAGCGCCTGTGTTCCAGCCCACTTTCACAGCTTACACAAATGGGGGTGCCTGCTTCATGTGCCCCGGGCGCAACCAACATGCTGCGTACGGGGTGTCCGCACTTGCAAGACTTGGCCTCTTCGTATCGCACCAACATGTTTTTCATTTTTTGCTGGCGGCAAACCTAGGTGTTGATGGCGCCGGGGAGGGCGGGGGTGGGCGGTCACATGGCCAACGCTACACCATGGCCAACTCTCGCCGCACGTTCAAGACATTTGCAGATCTTCGTGTAGCAAAGGTCGTTCTTTTCGCGGCCAGGCGACAGCATGAATATACCGTCCTGCCTACTGAGTTGCAAGCTGACTTTAAGTGGATGGATATCGCCTGACAAAAGCCGCTATTCAAAGCCTTAAGGCAACCCCCCCTCTTTCGGTTGAGCACAAGAATTGCTGACCCACGGGAGCGACTCTCAAATAAATAGAATGATGCTTGCATCCGAGAACAAGCTTGAGGAAAGCTAGCATCCGGCATGTCTTGCTGTTCCTGCTTCTTTTCGCGTGAGTGGCTCTATCAATGAAGGGGTGAATTTAATACCTGGTGTCAAACCAAATACCCTGTCAAAAACGAAAGCCCTCTCGGAGTTCACAAACTGTCACCCTACCATGAGCCTAGTTAGGCCCAGTTATAGAATGTATATATTGTTATTGTTTGCTTCACTTTGAGTCACTGCTAAAATGTAAAATGCATCCTAAGTCTACCGCAGCTTACATGCATGAGCCCTCTTGGGGCAATGCCACACTGCGCAAGCCTGAGCACTGCAGGAATGCAAGCCATTTTGGCTGGTGCACGCATCCAATGCTCATTCTCATGAACATAACTCGGTTGCTTTCTGCTCCCGTGCTAGAAGCTTAACTTTTAGTGGTTTAACGGAAAACCCATCAGTTGGCAAAAAGTTTAAGTCCTAACTTCCAAGCAAACTGCACCAAAAATAACTTGCTCTTTCTGAAGCACACCAGGGCTCAAGGCATGCTCAGAATGCCGAACGCCTCCCCTGGCATTCAATCGAAAAACCACAGCACGACATCATGGAAGTGATGTTTGTCAATTAAGCCTCTTCCATTTGCTTCAGCCCCAGGGAGAAAAAAAAGATTTTTCCCATAGTGATGGATTCCCTTTAAAACCACCAGGGGGGAATAAAACGAAGGGAAGCGCAAGGCGAGCCTGAGTGTCTCTGGCGCCGGCTTGAGGATGTCTTTGCCCTCAAAATGGATGGCCCAGCCTGGCACCACCAGTTGCGATGGCCGCTCTGGACGATGGTCATCAATTGCTTTCGGCAGCAACGAAACCGACACCGGTTGCTTGATGCCGTGGTGTCGCATGTGTCAGCATAAGCAGAAGGATGGCACCGTTGCTCGGAATGAAAGAGGTTGCCCGCAGAACTAGGCTGGGAGTTGGGAAAACTAGGTTTGCCATTCTGACTCATTCAATTCAACAGGGGCCTTCCTCAACTCAAGCCCCGGGCATCCCCGGGCGGTTCCGGTTGATTGAATCATGAGAGCATGGCATTTGACATGGGGTCTCGAAACAAAAACATCCAGGAACCTTCTGTTCGCTTCCACGTTTGATTTTGAAGGGGCGTCTGCGACCTCTTAGGCATTGGAAACCAAAGACTGCAACATGCTGGGCTGCAAAATTCTGTGCGACAACCCTCAACACGACAGTTAGTAGTCATTTCGTGCCCTACCCGCAACTGCGGGCACACGCCCTCATGTTTTATTTCTCCTCGCCCATGGAAAGCAGCTCCCGGGTCATCTCAGACACGAGCGTCAGAGAGACACTCAAAGTGCCGGAGCCCTCTGGCTCCCATCTTGCGACATCAGGCGAGGCAGGTGCAACGTCAGGGAGAGGAGGGGGCGGGCAAGCTGGCGCGGGCTTAAGCACCTTGGGCATCGCGCTCGGCACCGAGATCTCGATAGGAGCCGCAAACCAGGTATCCGTCACGTTGGGAGAGCCTGCAGCTGTTGCAGGCGTAGGGGCTGATTTGGCCACCTTTTCTGGCGCGGGAGGCAGGTCAAACTCTTCCTCGGCAGCAGGCTCTGCCTGGACTGGAGGTAAATCAGGCTCTTCCTGCGCTGCAGGCAGGTCAGGCTCTGCCTGGGCCGCAGGCACATCAGGCTCTGCCTGGGCTGCAAGTTCCTCTCCAAAGTGGACGTCATCCGCCCGCCGCGCCGGGGAAGCCTCGGCAGTCAAGGCCATCGCCTCCGAGGCTTCGCGCAAGCAGCTCAGCCTGAGAGCGCATCGCAGGCTCGCCACGGCCTCGCTGGCGTGGGTCGACACCAGCTCCACAGAGGCCAGGCCGAAGGCCGGGCCGCGCGGCATGGGCCCCGCCGCGGCCGCGCGGGCCACCTCCCCGGCGAGGTCGAAGCAAGTGGAGGCCAGCACCTGGGCGCCGCTGGCCAGCAGCACCCAGAAGGCCGCCTTCTTCGCCATCCTTGACGTTGGAAGGGGAGCAAACATCTAAAATCTTTAGCAGTTAAGTTGGGATTCCAACCACTAAACCACAATAACCACAATAAGCAAGACGGTAAAATGTTGCCCAACAACAACCATGCATCTGCCGCACCTGCGCCCAGGTGACTTCGAACAGCATCGCCTTTCCGCGGCCGAACTTCAGGGGGCCCTCTTGTCCGAAGGCTTGGCCAGGAGCTGGCAGCGACAAAGGGGAGAAGTCCAGAAAGCACAGCACCAGCGTGGGGACCCCAGTCCCATCTGTGATGTCATGCAGGACGCTAAACCTGCTGTTCAGCGTCACTTCTTCCGCTGCAAATTCAAGCGACAGCACCAAGCGTGGCTCCACCATGGCACTGCATCTTGGATTCTCTCCGCGGATTTTCTCACACGAACTCTGCACGTAAATTATCTTGTTTAGTATTGAAGCATCATTGTGCCCAGGGTATTTGGAGTCGAGGGCGCAACTTCAACACCCAATTCCAAAGGTATGTATTATTTACCTTGCAAAGTACGGCTTTCTCAAGGCAAGGCTTTTGGAGTGGTCAGTGAGCCAGCAAAACATTCATAATCTCCCCCTCGCTGCTCAATAAAGCACGCCCCGCATGCAACCAACAAGTAAACAAAAAGACCATTCGTGCCGTTGCTTGGCTGGTGTCCCCACACGCCCCTTGGAGACTGCACGGCTCTGTCTGAGGCGGTCCAACGGCTGGGGGGCAGGGAGGGGGAGCCCAAGCAAGGGCGTTTTCTAACCCAAGAGTGGGGCCGTTGGGCTCCCTTTCCGTCCCCCAAGCCATAGCAACCCAACGACTACTCACTGGCAACTCGCCAAGGTGCCAAGGATCATTGACCTTGCCCTTCTCGTGGCTCCCCCATTGATCTGAATCAGTCCGGGTTCCCAGTAGTTCATCTTTACAACATATGGCGAAACTCCCTGACAATTGATGTTTTAAACAAAGCCAAAAAGGGACATCTTGGCGCCCATGCGGTTTATCCCAGGCTTCGCCCATCCCTGCCTATGCCGGGTTCACCCAGCATTCTCTGGGCGCCCGGGCCACTTGTCGTACCTCCTCCGAGGATGAGCTGCCAGACCTCGGTGAGGCGACATGAGCGCCGCTCAAAACTCCGGGACTTTTTGGGGTACCCTCCCACTAACATGGCAACTGACAGGGGGTCCCTTCAATCTTCCAGGTACCTGAAAAGCAGGTGCCATGTTAGTGGGAGGAAAGGTAGGTTTCATAAAACTTCAATTTGCTTTCCCCCCCCCCCGTGCAAAAAATAAGAAAATAGGTCCAGCAGTGATAGATTCCATTTAACACCAATAGGGGACTGTTGGGGGTTCCCTCCCTCCCACGTTTGCCATGACAACTGACAGGGGGTCCCTTCAAATGGATTTCAATCTTCCAGGTACCTCTTCACAGGTGTCATGTTAGTTGGAGGAAGGGCATGTTTCATAAAACTTCCATTTGCGTTCCCCCCCTCCCGGTCAGCAGTGATAGAGTCCATTAAACACCAACCGGGGAAATGAAACATATTCTGAAGCAAATGGAAGAAAATTGGGGGGGACCTCCAAATTGGTGGCTTTCCTTTTAGTTTCCCTTTAAACTGACAAGGCTTGCTTGCTTTGTGATGGGGTTGCTTTAAAATGCTTTAAAAAGGAAACCCAAACCACACCCACCTTGCGGGTCCCCTCATTTTGACACGCATGCACACCCTTTAGCATCTGCCAAGATGGCAGTCAAGGTTTCAATCGGTCCCCGTGAGCAGATTTTGCCGACCGCCCAGCTTCAATTGGGCGACAGGGGTTTTTTGGGGGGCTGGTTAGATCAGGCGGGTTCTAGGGGAGCTCTTCTTCAGCTCCCCGACTCCCCTCCATCATTTAACGTCAGAACTGCAAACAGGCCTTGTTCTGCTGCTCTCAAGCCACGCTTTCAGGCTTTCCACCAGGTTGGAGGGGATCGCCCTCTGACACACACGCTTCAAACGGTCCACAACGCCCTCCGCGCGCCGGTCTAAGGGCGCTGACGCCGGAGATGCCTTCGATGGCTTGCTTTCGGCCTGGCAATGCTCACCCACCCACCCGCCCGGTTTGCAGGACGGGACGTTAAATGGGCTCGAAACGGATAATTCCGGAATCGGATGCTACGCATTTGGTTCAACTGGAACCTGTTTCTTAGGACCCATCAGGGTTGTGGGATTTGAACCCGCAGTTCCTCTTGCAGCCAAATGGAAGGATACACCAACCCTCCAAACCAAACCAAAGCAGCCACTTTGGGAGGCCACACTCTACGACACATGGGGCAGACTCCCCCGTTTTCAGGCTGCCCATGAGTGAAAGAAATTCGGGGACCAGGGAAACCGAGGCTCGCCGCGCAGGGCGCTCAGCATGGGCTGGGGATCGAATGGAAACTCTGCCGACCCAGTGGCAGAGATCTCAAGGATGCGCAGGCCAATGGCTCGTTTGATCCCCCCTGCCTCTTTCTTCGCCTGACGATGGAACGCAAGTAGAGTAGCAATCCATGAAACGGGGCAGTTGGCAAAGAGAGCATGATTGCAACCACACGGCAAGCACTACCCAATCGGGCTTTTGGCGTGCCAGCCATGCCTTTTTGTCCTTCTTCTTCTTGTCCTTCTTCTCTTTCTTCTCACGCTCCTTGGCATCTTCCCGCTTGGCGCCTGCACCGCCACAGCACTGCTTCGCAGCGTATGCAAGGATTTGTCGTTCTGATTCCAAACGTTCCGTGCAACCATCCCATAACAGTGTTGAGTATAGAGTAGAGTCTGTCACGGGGATCCTGTTGTGCCATTTGCTTGCAGGGGGCCAACTGAGCAGAATCCGAGCAACAGGTACCACTGAACGATTGGATCGAATGCTGACCCTGGCTTTGTCAGCCCGTCGGATGATTTGGGCAGGGTGTTTGCCCCAACAGGTGAAGAATCGCAGATCCCCTCTTCATGGACCCCAGGTTTGAATGGTCAAACGAGCTGAATGTGTCCGCTTTGTTGAAAACTTGGGGAAGACCAAGCAGAAAGCTGGCACTCTTTGCCAGAGTAGCACGTGTCTGGGCAAGCTGGTTGCGGATGTGGCAAACCAGTCTAGCTCGGGCATAGCAGTCCAACCCCCCAAGCTCCAAACATCCAATAAATGCAACCCTGAAACCCCCTGCAACTTCACACTATGTCACACTTTTGTGCAATTTGCCCACCCTCCCTCCCCAAGATGCAAACCCCAAGCAAGCTTTTGGAACCATACCGTCACTTCGACGGCTTTGGGCCGCTTGGCATCAACGCCAGGCATCGCCCGGCCTTTCTCCTCCCGCTCTCGCTTGCCTTTGCGCCCCGCTGGCGGCACCTGCTTACCAGTGAAACCAGGAAGCGGCAAGGCCCACTTCGAAGCATCACCCCCATTAAGTGTCAGGGGCCGTGGGGCGGGGGGGCGGGGGCGTTGTCAGCAAGTTTCACACGACCATTCGCATATACCACAGGAGGATTACAACTGAATGGTGCGAGTTCCTTGTGCAGCTGGGGCTTGATCAAAAGGTCCTTTAAATGGGATGACCATTAAGGATGATATTTCCCCCTATGGGAAAAGTTACCCATGGCAGTTTGGAGGCCAGAGATATAAATCCACAGCTCTGCTGACCCGATCGCGCCTCCTTGGGCGCCTCCTTGCGGGGATCCCGCGGCTCTTCAACCCGGCGGCTCACCTCAAGGAGGCCAGCGGAGCACAGCGCCCGCTGCAGCCTCAGGTTTTGTGCCGGGCCGAAAGGAGGAACCATTCAGGGTGCGTGGGCCCAAAACAGGCGTGGTTCCTTCAATGTCCCCTTAGAACCACCCAAAAGTGGAATTTCGCCGCCCCATGTGTCTGCAGAGGGTTCCACAGATGTGGGGTGCTTTGAGATGCTAAGGGCTTGAGATTCCCTGGGATGACCATTGGTTTTCACAGGGCGCCACAAATGGGGCAACTTCATGCGCCCATTTGGGAACCAAGGAGCGTGAGTCCTCAACATCAAACCCTGGGAAGGTCCACATGCTGACATTGCACGCGCTGCTGGCAGAACTGCCGCAAATTGCGAGATGTCGCTCCGCGGCTACGATTGCGCGATATCGGCAACCCATGATACAGCACTGCCGCATTACCTCTGCGGCACCCTGTGCCAGGCCCCGCAAAGTAGCACAGCCACCCATGAGAACCTACCAAGTGCAAAAAACACCCCCAGTAAAGAGCCTTCATCATGGGTGAGTTCTGTGGAGCGGCAGGCGAGCTCGTTCTAAGTTGGCCAAGAAAACGTGTGGGCCCTCCCCACATGCCTCTGGATGTGCTGGGCGCCACAGAATGTGGTTAGCTCACTTCAGCTGGTAAACACAAACTGTCCGTCTTTCACAAGAATTGCTCGAGGTTCAAACCATGAAAAACTAATTATGAGTTTGCTCGCACCAGCAGGGAACCCAAGTGCACTGTAAGTATCCTGTGGTCCTCGGCACAAATAGGTTGCTTCCTTGGGAGCCACGCTAGCCATTCATTTGAAGTGCTGTAGTGACGAAAGGCGGATAAGCAACGGCATTGGAAGCTTGTCAAAGTATATTGCTCCCAATCGAACTCACGCCAAGGCACCACCAAAAAGATCATAACAGGATTCGGGGCACGTGCCAAAAACGTCATGCACCCACTGCCTTCACTAGCAAACACACATGGGTATGTATTTTTTCAGGGGCCCTCCCAATAAAATTCATAGCCACATCTGCTCGAGCAACTCGCTCATTCCCCAACCGAGCTCAGAAGCCTCTCCAGGCCAGGCCCCACCAGCGACCAGGCGGCCTGCGCAAAAATCTTTGATGGAATGCTCCGGATTTGGGGGTGGGGTTATGGGTTTATTTTGTTTATTTAATGGGTTAAATAGTCTAATTAGTTTAATTAGTTTAATTTAAAGGATTATGGGTTATGTTCTCGGCCAAACAGTGGACATCAGAATTTGTTGGGGATTTGTATCCAAAGGAGCTCCCGCAGAGTTCTCTTCTCAAAAAAAATGGCAACCCCAGAGCTGTCTCTGTCCTCGACTTCCACTCGCGCTTCCATGCTCGCAGAGCCGCCCCCTGTGCGCCATGCCTCACATTGGCAGGCGGGCAACTTGCAACGGGAAGAGGGGTCGATTTGTATATCTTGGGATGTCCCCCTTCCACCCACGTCGCGGATGGGGTTCTTGACCAATGGCCACTCCAAGTCGTCTGTTGCCGACTACACCAGGCATGTAGAAGGAAAGCAGGAGGTGGGGCCATGTGCCCATTGGTTCCACAGCGAATCAGCAAAATGGACCGGGTTTTTGGGTGTTGCTCAAGAGAAGCCAGGAGAAACACCAATGGATTGAACAAGTCCTCAGCTGACATATGCCCTTGGCTTGGCGCACCGTCATTTAACTTCAGCTTCCGGTCGCTCGATTCAGGAATTCACGAATCCCATGCCCATGACAAGGCTTGGCTGTGCGCAGGGCTGGTGACGTCGGTATGTGCAAGCACGCCATCCCCATCAGTGCGAGCATTGCAGGTTGAGGAAGCTACCAAAAGACCTCCGTGAGGCAGCTCAAGTAACACTGTGCCATCCTGGTCTGGCATTGCTTGGAGGGGGGGGGGGCATGAAAAGCAAAGCCACCAACTGAGGGATGTTGCAAAAAACACAATGCTTATAGCCCCCTTTACCACTCCTTTACCCAACCTAGCTAAGAGAACATTCTTTCAAACAAGTCCTCAAAGGTAGCGCTGGTCAAACCACCCAACCAAAAAAGACATATGGTTGCACCCTTCGAAAGGGAAAAAACCCGTTTCAAAGCAGCAGGGAATGCATGGTGCTTTGGTCATTTGCTCACCGCAAATGACTTCTTCCCCCCTTCCACCCGGTTACGGGGCGCCGGCCGATGGCAGGTCCTGCAGCCCGCAAATCCTTTTCGGGGGAATTCTTGGGAAAGCCACGCTTCCCAAGCCGCAATAAGGACAAGGGCTTCAAATCCCCAAACCAATCCAAGCCAACTAAGGGTGACCGGGTTACCTCAAGCCACACAGCTTCCCTAGTTGGTTGGTTGGAGCCCGGTAGCTTGGTGGTGAAGTGGAGGGGTTTCCCGTGTTACCCTCTACAAAAGCCGGAGCTTCAAATCCAAATCCAAACCAATCCAAACCACCCTGTTGGTTACTAAGGGTTACCTGATAATGTGCCCATGAGGACGTGGCAACCTTAAGGATCCATACACAGATCTTGCTTTGTGGGCCACTCGCTGGGCGGCACGGAAAGTTCCGTTGCGGTCAGTGCCGCGCAACATGATACACTCTAACCCCTGCGCAAACCAAAAGCATGGAATCCAAAATGCACTGCGCAGAGTCTTGGAGGAAACACCTGTGGGGCAACGCTTTTTTGATGTTCTTTCACAGTTTGCAAAAGTCGTACCAGTCACGGCCGATTGGTTTCACCAACACGGCGTAACATGACGCGACCCTCGTTCGTGGCTTCTGGGGCACACAAGCTCTTCCTTGCGCAGTGAACTCGTCATGCCAAGTTCACCTCAAAATTACGAACGCAGGGCTCGCGCCATGTTGTTGTTCTCAAAACTGGGGGTTGGGGGATTACCACATTTTGAGCCACAGCAACAGTGTCGGGAACCACTATTCGACTGCCTGATTAAGATTGGGTTTTATGCCTTTCAAGGTTGCAGCTCATTGGCAAGCGTGACCATTCCCAACTCCGTGACTGAGATTCGTGAAGGCGCATTTGAAGGCTGCAGCTTATTGGCAAGCGTGACAATTCCCAACTCCGTGATCTATATTGGAGAACGATCCTTTAAAGGCTGCAGCTCTTTGCCAAGCGTGACCATTCCCAACCTGGCGACTGAGATTCGGGAACGTACATTTGAAGGTTGATTGGCAAGCGTCACCATCCCTTCCTCTTTCACTGAGATTGGGTCCTATGCCTTTCAAGGTTGCAGCTCATTGGCAAGCGTGACCATTCCCAACTCCGTGACTTATCTTGGAGAACGAGCTTTTGAAGGCTGCATCTTTTTGGAGTCAGATGGGACAAGAAGACCCCTTTGTTGCTTTGAGCATGGCAGCCTTCAAATGCGCCGTCACGAATCTCAGTCACGGAGTTGGGAATGGTCATGCTCCAACCGCCACCTCCACCGAGCTCATGTTGCGCTTTGAGTCATCTTCGCGGGGCAGCCACGCGCGCAGCTGCCTCTTGAATTCACGGATGGTCATGTGGGTGGACACTACGAATGAGTCTTCCTTCCCGGATAGCTGTCGAACCGTAATCTCCCTCGCCATGGCTGGCATCCGTTCGGCTACCAAGTGCTCCAAACAAGTGGTTTCCGTTTCCACTCTCCAACCCAAAAAGGGTACCCTCAAAGAAGTACCCCCAAATTAGGGTGAGTTGTTGACAACAGGGTGATGTTGACCTGGAGAGTTGGGTGTAACCATTGCAAGCGATCTAAAGTCCGTTGCCTCAGATATGGTGACGGTAACCTACTTACAGCGTGGATTCAGCATCCAAGTAAACACGGGGGCGGCACAAAAAAGGTCAGGAACTGGTTGATTTAGACTCCAGCTCGACAGCACGATCATGAATGGTGAAAAGGTTTTCCATCTGCGACGTTGTCAAAAATCAATCCAGATAGTCACGCCCACCGATCGATACTCTCCAAACACCTCCCCCCCCCGTCTCACTTCCTGAGTGGATTGGCCAAAACAAGCCTACTTGTCTATACCACTAAAACCGTCCTCCCGGAAAGCACAACGGCCATAAACTCAGGGAGTAAGATATTGAGGTGTATTTCTGGGAAGCCCATCACATTGGGCTGGCATATCGGTGGCCCCGACTTGATCCTTTTGGCCTATGCCCCGTGTGGGTGTGCCGAACTTGTTGTTCTTCAACACCAATGATTGGGTGGTACAGGCCGCCGCCATCCAGGGCCATCCGGAGCCTGAATAGCAAACGCTAAAAGCAAACACTGCAAGCCCAAATGGTGAAAGGACAAGTCAAGCTGAAGACCCCTGGGCGCTTCGCGACATGCATACATGTGTACATAATATATTTCATGTATGCATGTGTATATTCAGGTTGTTTTTGAAAATAGTGACAAACGATCAATTGAACAGACAACACGACGCACACACACACACACAAACAAACAAACCAAGCAACGCAAATACATGAAGCCAATAAGCAGCAAACTTAATACGACATATGTAATTCAAACAGGTAAACTAGTTCTTAACAATAATAACAAAACACAAAAACACAAACACAACAACACATAATAACATCTAACATCACATACTAGATTTATATTTAAACAAACATGAAAAACAAAACAAAAAACAACAACAATCAACTGTTCATCGAATGAAACAACAAAACAATAACATCAAACAAGCAAGACATAACCAACCAAATTCATGGATCATGCCCTCCTCCGGAAACATCTGCATGTCTCCTGTATATAGGTTTTATTCACATATATGTGTGTGGTCGCATGTAATGTAGCGAAGGCAAAAAGGGAGCCTGCCTGCATCCAGCACAGGGCATGCCATGCAGCATTTGTGAGACGGCAAGCGGGTCCTTTGCCAAGCTCGCAAGGCCTTGCTTTTCCTGAAGAACGCTGCTCAGGGCATCAGACATCTCCAAATGCTTGGCTGGTTCTCAGCAGGGAATGAGGGAATGACCCTATGCTTTCCTTTTTATAAGGAAATCCCTGGGTTCATTCCCACACCCTAGGTCATTCCCTGCAGAGCACCAGCAAGAAGGGTTGACTTCCTCCTGGTTTCTCCGGTTTCCTGACATTTGCTTGCCTGTTCTCTTGAAGGGAAATGGGCATGCTTGTTCAACATGTGTTCGCTTAGAGCGACCAAGCACACACATGGAAGATTAGGCAGATTGTCCTGCGTGGTTGCCTCATGCGAGCACGTCGCATGTAATTTGCGCAACTTGTTGCCTGAGGAAGAAACGGGCAGGGGGAATATATGCTTCCCAGAAACCCCGCCCACCACCCGCGTGCCGAGGGCCGATGCCTTCTCCCCGCACATCCAAGCTTGCACTTTCTCGTTTGTGTATGGCCCATGGACAGGGAGTGAGGTATGATTGGGAAGAAGCTTTTTGCCCAAAGAAGACAACAGGATTTCTGAATCCAAGCAGGCTTTGGTTGAGTTGTACAGTTTGCCATGGGCAACTCTGCCTACTCCAATTGAGACTCCAATCAGTCCCAGCAACTATTTCCCTATCAGTTACATCCATTTGAAGGGTTGCCTCCTCCCTCCAGTGGATATGCTCTGGGGACACTTAAGCATCATACGTCATAGTCAGGCACAGGTCTCAGGTCTGTCTAACTGCTGAATGTTGGCCTCAATCCCAACACATGCAGCCATGCGCCATTCTAACGAATGCCGTAGATGCTGACACCCCTTGCAAATTCACACAGGGCCCCGCAACAAACCCATCATCTTGCCGGGCCTCAACCCCAAGCACCCCATATTTTTCTTGCGTTTAGGGATGCGTTTAGGGGGCCGAAAAGGGGAAGCCTCGTGGGACGCCCGGCGGACTCCCCCGACGGACGCCAAGGTGCTTCGCGCCCCGACGGACGCAAGGCCGAGACCCCGAGACCCGCGCGAGCTCTCCATGCAGCAAGGTGAACTGGGATTTCATGGCCTGAAACGGGAGGGGGCGGGAGCCAAGGATGTCCCTTCAAAGCACTGACGACTCAAAACCTCCCGCAAGGCCAACCCCCCAGAAAGGATCCGAAAAACGCCCTAGATCGGCCCGTTTTTCTGTCCTGGGAATGTTCTTTTTGCTGAGAATGCCTCTATTCTGGGTTGGTTGGTTGGTTGGTTGGTTGGTTGGTTGGTTGGTTGGTTGGTTGGTTGGTTGGTTGGTTGGTTGGTTGGTTGGTTGGTTGGTTGGTTGGTTGGTTGGTTGGTTGGTTGGTTGGTTGGTTGGTTCGCCACCACCTGCCCACCGACCAACAAGCCCACCCGCCCACTAACCAACCTGGCCACCCCAGCCACCCAGCCACCCACTTCCCGAGCCGGCATACTCAGCGAGTGTTTTTAGATAGTGCCCCACATCTCTTTTTTGAAGACTGCGATCCGTCAATTCACCTTCCATGATCTTCTATGAACCTTGTATAGGATCGGTGAGACTCCTGTGCATGCTGATTCAGAGCCATAGGCAAAGGTCCCAGGGAAGCCTTGGCAATCTACTGATAACAAGTGACCAAACGGGGCCGAGGGTCCTGACCTTATCACGGCCCATGAGTCCCCTTACCATGGCTCTGCAACAATATTTGGGTGGGGTGGCCTTAGCTGAATGACACGGACCCCTGAAAAAACCACCCCACACTCACCTGGCGATGGCAAATTAAGTGGCCCATGGACGGCTTAAGTGAGTCAAAGAACTGGCCTCCGGTAACCCAGGACGCGATTGTTTCTTCTTGGTGTTTAGGCTGGCCCACTTCTGACCATGCAGGCACTTCGCTTTTGAACCACTCCAAGAAAAGGAGGTCTTGTCTTAGGGGACGCCCCAAACTGGGGGTTGCCCTTCTGTTTTCCCTTTAAGACCGCAGAAACATGCACCCACACCAAAAGACATACTGAGCCCCGGCCCCACAGACAACTGCCTCCACTTCGTGCACGGCGGCATCTCGCATGCCCTCCGCCTTGCCCAGCGCCACCTGGCGTGTGTGTGTGTGTGTCTGCATAGTATACATTTAGATACATATATCATCATATATACATATGTGTCTGTGTGATTGCTTGCTTTTGAGGTTGTTCTGTTTGGGGTTGGCTTAAAGGAAATCCAACTGAACACTCAAAGCAAACCACCTTTTTGGGGCGCCGTCCCATGTTTTGGCACATGCCCAGGGGTGCCCTCTTGAAACAGACACGTGCGGTCCCACAACCCCTTTCCTTGCAGCTGAAGGCCAGACGGGATTCGGTTCCCCCAGTGAGGCCTTTAATTGGCAAGGGCGCAGGATCCGCAGGACCATGTGCACCAGATAGGCGGCGTGGCACTTGGAGCACAAAATGCTTTCGCAAACTCGGCTCCTTCACTAGCACCCCTTGGCACCAAGCGCGGACTCTGCGCCCTGTTTGTGAGTTCTTCCCTTCCCAAGCCCCAAATTCTTGCGATACTTTAAGCGAGCAACTACCAGACAAGATTTCATACCCCCACATCTCCAGATGTTCTTCTTGCTCCGTTGCGATGAAGCAAAGAAGGAAGGAACATACCAAATATGACTTTTGTTCAGTCTTGACCTGTCGATGCCAGCTTGTCTGCCGTCTTTGCCCTGACCAGAACAGGCCGAGGCAAAAGCCGGTGGTGGTCAAACACAAAGCTTGCTGGCAAGCAAAATCTAAAGGAATGGCCGTGTACTTTCAATTTGTGTCGATCCAAACTCATCAAAATCATGAACATACCGAGAAACGAGCGCCTGTTTTTTGCAGTGAAAGACCGTGAGACGCCGTGAGCCATAGCATGCCAAACGCACTGAAACTCATCCTGGCTGGCGTTGTTTGCAGGGATTGAAGGGGCCCTACGGGATGGATGCTTCAGGAAAACCATCCCTAGGGTTCAACCCTGAAAGGAATTGTTGGCCCAATTTGGCATGAAACTCCTGAACGGTAACTGGGCCGCCCTCAGTTCCCCCGCTCAAAGTGTAACTTTTAGTGGGTTAGATTGAAACTACCACTAAACACTTATAAGCTAAAAGGCCAAGAAATGGCTGGGAGCCACCAAGGTAGGTAATGGTGTTCGTATCTTGCCCCTTTGTTCCAACGGTGGAACCCCAGGCTCCCAGGACCATCTCAATGACCCAGAAATGCCCTTCGCTGTCGCGCGGCCTTTGCAGGTGCAGAAAAGGCTCGCATTCCGGCCCGTGCCCCAACCAAAGAAAGAAAGGACCATCATGCAGTGGCCCTTGCTTTCAAACCCTTTTACCCCCAGGATCTGTCAGTGCTAACTTGAAGCAACCCATGCCGCTTAGTAGGATAACTTCCTCTCATGTTGGTCAACGGCGTTACGCCAGAAAGATCGAATCTGACAGAACACAATTAACGTCATCATATCTTTTGCTGCCGATGCCATCTGCCAAAGTACAACTAGGTTCTCCAGAGAGGTTAGAATAAGGGTACCAACTTTCTTCTGTAGTCTATTTTAGTAGGGGAACCGTACCCTTTCTTCTGTAGTCTATTTTGGAACCCTCCCCCAAAAAAGGAACGGTGAGAAAGGGCACTGTCCGGACCACCTCTACGTCGGCACCCCGACCCCGATGCGCCTTCGCACCAATGAGCTCGGTGCGCAGAGAGTCCACTTGGCCAGAGTAGGCTGCCTGGCCAAGCCGGGCACAAATGCCTGTGGCTCAGAAGGCCGGTGCCAAAATGGACCTGGTAAGTGGAAACATGGACCCAAACCTGACCCCTCCTGGCTAATTCTGAGCCACACCCAACTGGCAAGTGGAAAAATGGACCAAAACCTGCGTAACCCCTCCGGGTTAATTCTGAGCCACAGCCAAATGCCAAGAGCCAACATGGAGAATCCTACGACAGGGGTCGCTGAATCTCCCCAAATCAAGGGTTGATCAAGAAAACGGGTGGTTTCCGTTGAAACGATCGCCACTTTTGGAGGTTCCGCATTAACTCACTTGCCTTGGCGAAAAAGGGTCAACTTTTTCTACACCGTCTTCCCAAAAAGCTTAAAGTCCAGGAACTCGGGGATTACAGGGATACGGCTGGGAAACATTTTGGGCGGGCTGGGGAAAGCAGCCTGAGCATCTTGCAGAAACTCAGGTCTCCGGGCCGAACTGCGGTTGCACAAAGCCATGTTCCCACTAGGCCACCCTTGGATCGAAACTGCTCCAAAATTACTGGCTTATGAGAATCCAAAGAGAATGAACCCAAGTCCGATCAAACCCGGGTCTTTGACATATGACCCACCTCGCGGGCTGTGTTGGTCTTGTTTTCAGGCTCTCAGACGAGTGATTGAAAGTGTTCGCATGTGGCTTTGGAATCAGCGCATTCTCGACCAAACTTGGTCGCGGAATACATCCCAATGTCTGATACCAAAGCCTTTGGTCGGGCCAGCCCCATCCATTCCAACTTACTCGGGGGAACCCTACCTTGGCTCCCAGAAATCGGCAGGTGAGACCCAATTTCCTCTCAACTTCGAACACCTGAAATCAGATCGGAATTGGATCCGGATCCAAGTGGGGACCAACATACAGTGGATGGTTGAGATCGAAATCCATTTCGCACCACTTTGAAACTGCGAAAGGGTTTGAAACAGAGTTTCGGGATGGATAAAACAGGCCCTAACCCACCAACAAGAAGAGACCACCTTATCCCCCCCCGGTCCCAAGGGCAAAGCGGTTGCCCTCGGCCGGCACTAACACGAACCAAAAGGGGTGCCTCGTTGTAACAAGAAGAAACCAGGCAGAAGCGCAGCACAGCGCAGAGCAGGCAGGCAAACCAGTAGCAAGCAGCACCAAGCGAGCAAAGCAAGCAATAGCAGCGCACCTCAAACAATAGCCCGACCCACCTCCAGGACAAAGAACACCGCCCCAGGCACAACGGCCGCGTAAACACGAGGCCGGTGTGAAGGTGCGCCGTGATCTTTTCCCGACGAAATGGCGAGCAATGAATGCCAGGTGAAAAGCTTGAGCCAAAAGCCGCGTTGGGCTTCGGCATGAAACATGCTATGATAGAAGTACATGCCCCCAAAAACACCCCCCTCGCCTGTACAAAGAGAAGGAGTGAATTTGGAAGGGCGCATTGGCCATGTTGAAGTTGAAAAGCAAATAAAAAGAAAACAGAGCCGATTAGGCTACCAGGGTTCGCGGCCCCATACCCGGGCACTCATTGGTGCCCGGATCCCGCCACCACCCCGAATTACGGGTATGGGGCGGATTCGCGCCGGTAGCCAAATCAAACAAGAGAAAGCAAAAAGAAACAGAAACAAAGATTCAACTCCAGAATGGCAGGCATGAAATAAAATTACATTTGCAATGCAACCACAACGAACCGCAAGGTTCAAGTGGATTTAGTTCCTGAATTCATGATTTAGGCGCATTGGCCTACTGGTTGAAACATGGTGCTTTGACCACAAGACCTTGGTCTTTAAAGTAGCACCGTCTAGGCGCGCGATCACACAAAGACCTTCAGTAGGAACACCACCAGCTGCAATCAGCGGTTCAGGTCCGAGTAGGACTTCACCGGCAGCGGTGCAGCGCATCCGTGATCCTCACCGCAGCACCTTGATGAGTTCCATCTCCAGCAGCAGCAGCGGTGCTGGACGATGCTGACAACCAGCGGCCGTAGACACCGGCGAGGGTAACTGCCTTGCTGCGGCGACGCACACCTGACAGGTAATCGCTGCCAGCGCGAATAGCGCACAGCTGCGCATGCAGTTGAATTCTGGAATGGCGAATAGCCCAAACATAGAAATACTACAGGGAGCATTGTCCATTATGTGAATTCCGGAATGAAAGCACGCGCGCGTTGGCGCCGCTACGCAAAAGATGCAGACGGACACCAGGTATTACCGATGTCGTCCGCCGCCGTGCCGTCCCCTCCCCTTGTTGACGTTCCAGTCCCCAGGAGGAGGAGGCACGGTCTCGGCCAACTCATCATCCGCACCCCAGGTAGGGGTATGCGGCGAGTTCGGATTCTCGAGCTCGCGTGGATCACCCTGCATGTGCGGCTGCCAACCCTGCTGCATTGTGCCAGGCCACATTTGCGGCATCATGCCAGCCATTGGCTGTTGCATGTACCCTCCCATTGGGAAAGCAGGGCACATCGGACTTGGGAACGGGAAAGGGGCTGCCTGAGCACCCTTGTATCCCGACCCGCGAGCATCAGGCTGATACCCGCCAGTGGGAGTTCTCGATCTGGCGGATCCGCCACGACCGAACTGCCCTTGTTGGTAGCCGTATTGGCCACCCTTGCCTTTGTACTGATCACCTTTGTGACCCTTTCCTGGGAACTGGTCACCCTTGTGACCTCCGCCCTTGGGCCAGGATTGTGCAGGGGCTTTGCCCTTTTGCTGATCACCCTTTGACCTGGATTCAGGTCGCGGGGTAGCAGACCGTTGGTCTCCCCTAGGAGTGGCTGCCCGCCTGTGGTGCTTCCCAACCGGCGGGTCAGCAAAGACAATGGCGCATTGGCCGTCGCGCCGCGAAGCGGGGACCATGTCAACCTTATTGTCTTCGACATAAATGTATGCCTCAGCATACTCAATTGGGGCCGTGATGGATCCACCACTGGCCCGCAAAGAGTCGATATTCCAATCAAGAACAGTGGAAGCGTCGAAACTCGGATCTTCAGTATTGAAGTCCGTGAGGCGTCGCTCAGCCTGTACCAACGACATTATGATGTCCGCGCGTGAGGCGCCTAGGCCATACAGCGGAACCAAATACCCGTCCTCAATCCCGATGCGGTAGGCATCAAAGATATGCACAGAGAGGTAAAGGGCAAATGCTGAATTTAGACTGCCCTTTCTCGTCATATGACGACCCCATTGCGCCGCCTGTTGCGGGTGCTCGATTAAATATGCCATGACAGACATATTGTCGGGAATCGAGACGCCAGTGTTGCTCTCCTCGATGAGCAGCTGCTTCGCTACCCACCGCTCGAGAGCCTCATCACTCGCCCGCACACAAGCGTGAGTGTCCTTTGAGGTGACCTTTGCAACCTCCTGAAACGCAACTTGCACAATATCCGCATTGGGAATGTGCACAAGATGCGGCGCGCAGCGCAAACCGGTGATCATGCAGCTGACCACCTCGCGAATCGGGTTTACCGATGCCATGAGAGGGGCCCACGCGTCGGTCTCCCCTTCATGCCAGCTGCTGGGGCGGACTGCTTTGAGTTCGCTCAGCCAGATTGGCTGTCCATGCTTAACCAGAGCGCGGACGGTGCCTGGCACCCATTCACGATAGAAAATCGGCAGATGGCAACCATTGCATAGAATGGTGCCATACATGTTCAAATGCGCGCACCGAGGGCACCAGTAGTCATGCATGGGAGCATTGTCCCATGAAAATGACACCCCTCTCCGCGGTCCCTGAACATTCAACTCACGGACCGCCCAGGGGCGGATGTATATTACATCCCCTTCCTGATGCAGATAGCATGCGCGCCAGAATGGCGCATGTATCTCTTCCCGCACGGCGATCAAACCGCGTCGGGTTTTGTAGATGCCGGCGGCTTCCTCGATGGCCATCCACTTTAGGTCAACGGCCACAACGACATGGCGCTTGTCCATGTACTTGACGCGGTCGTCAACATAAAATTCGCCCTCATTATTGGGGCTGGGCAACTTGAGGAAAGGCACCTTTGCGCCCTCCATCCCAATCATGATCTCCCCCCTGCAGACCTGCTCAGGTCGCATGGGGAAAACTGTGATGGCGAATTTGCCAGGCCTCCGGATGCACCTCGTTTTGAGGGCGGACCGATACTCGGCCATCGTCAGCAGCACGTATCCCGTATAAGGGACTTCTGCTGCTCCCATCGGCCTAAGCAAAGGCCCCATAGGCGTTCGGTCACGCAGTGCCCAACGCTTGAAAACTTTGAACGGCACGTCCCTCCCGATTAGGGTGGACCGCGCAAAAAGCACCTCATTCGGGCGCACACTCGTGCCATCTGTCCTCCAGACTGTCCGTATTAGGAGCTCGACTGGAGGGTACGATGGGCTTTCCTTTGCGAGAGCACCCGCCCAGGTCGCTACCTCGACACTCGTGCACTTGTGGATCCCGTATAGGGCCTCAAGTAGCGTTGAGATCAGAGTCATTGACATCCAACCTCCCAGAATGTCTGGAACCGTCCCAAACAAGAAGGGAGGCTGCTCACCGGGCTTCACGTTTAACCGCGTAGGGTCAGTGTTGCCCGACAAAACTTCTAGCAGCATTTGCGATTCCCTGGAGCTTCGTCCAACAAACGCCGACACATCCCTAATTTCGGGGAAAAAATGGAAGATGTCATTTCCGGCAGGACAGGCGATTCTGCCTGCTATCCCGCCCTGTGCATCAATCACAACCTCTTCACCCTCGTATGTGAGGTTGTAGGTGCTCGTAATCGGGCACACACCGGGCTTAGCCATCAGTGCCTCCTCCAACGACGCACCTGTTGGGAGGACGCCCTGTACGTGCGACTTGGTACCTATGGGACCAGTACTCGCAGACATAAGCCGATAATTTTCGGCACGAAAGAATGGAAAAAGGTTCTTCATCCTTTCAATTTCTTCTTCAGTGGTGCGCCACGCCTTTGCCTCATAGTAAGGCGGCTCCTGCTTTGAGGGCACTAGGTCGCGGTCACCCATTGATGAGAATTTGTCCAC